AAAAAAAAAAAAACCTCCTAGAAGAAAGTATAAATGGTAAGCTCTTTAACATCAGTCTTGGTGATTATTTTTTGGATCTGACATCAAAAGCAAAAACAACAAAAGCAATATAAACAAGTGGGACTACATTAAACTAAAAAGCTTTGCACAACAAAGGAATCAACAAAATGAAAATACAACCTACCAAATGGGAGAAAATATTTGAAAATCATGTATCTGATAAGGGGTTAATCTCCAAAATATATAAAGAACTCATACAAGTCAATGACAAACAATCCAATTAAAAATTTGACAGAAGACCTGAATAAACATTTTTCCAAAGAAGACATACAACAGGTAATAAAAAGATACTCAACATCACAAATTATCAGAGAAATTCAAATCAAAACCACAATGAGATATTAACCTCACACTTGTTAGGATGACTATTACTAAAAAGCCAAGAAATAAGTGTTGGTGAAGATGTGAAAAAATGGAAATCCTTGTGCACTGTTGGTGGGAATGTAAATTAGTATAGCCACTATGGATAACAGTATGGAGGTCCATCAAAAAATTAAAAATAGAACTACCATATGATCTAGCAATCCCACTTCTGGGTGTTTATCTGAAGAAACCTAAAACACTAACTGGAAAAGACATATGCACTCCCATGTCCATTGCAACATTATTTGTAGTGGCCAAGATAGGAAGCAATCTAAGTGTCCATTGATAGATGAATGGATAAAGAAAATATATATAAAAAAGAAGAAGATCTTGTCATTTGTGACAATAAAGATGCACCTTGAGGGCATTATGCTAAGTAAAATGAGTCAGGCAGAGAGAAACAAACACCATATGTTCTCACTTATACGTGAAATCTAAAAATAAACAAACAAACAAAAACAAGCTCATAGATACAAGGAATAAATTGGTGGTTACCAGAGGTGGGAGGTGGGGTTAGTGAGTAAAGTGAGTGAAGGAGGACAAAGGGTAGAAACTTCCAATTACAAAATAAATAGTAATGGGGATATAATGTACAGCATGGTGACTACTAATTAATAATATTGGGTATTCCATATATGGAAGTTGCTAACAGAATAGATCTTAAAAGTTCTCATCACAAGAAAAAAAATTGTAACTATGCGAGGTAACAGATATTAACTATACTTATTTTAGTGATCATTTCACAGTATATACAATTATCAACTCATTATGTTGTACACCTGAAACTAATATAATGCTGTATGTCAAATATACTTAAATAAAAATAAAGAAAGAAAGAAAACAGCATTTAAAGCCCTAAAAAAAATTAATTTTAGCCGAATGAAAATGAAAACACAACACACTGAAATTTGCAGGATGCCACTAAAGAAGTACTTAGAGAAAATAAAAGCACTAAACACCTGTATTTAAACAGAAGAAAGGTCTCAAATCAATTATCTCAGCTTCTTCCTTCAGAAACTAGAAAATAAGAGAAAATTAAATCCAAAGGAAGTAGAAGAAAGGAAATAATAGAAATAGAAAAGCAGTAAAACAACAGAAATAAATCAGTGAAACCAAAAACCAGTTCCTTGGAATAATTACTACTATTGTTAAACCTCTAACCAGACATCAGGAAAAAAAGAAAGAGAAAGAGAAGTCACAGATTATCAAAACTATGAATGAGAGAAGTGATATTTCTACAGATTCTACAGATATTAAAAGGATAATAAGGAAAAATTATTGTGCTGGTTGAATAGTGTTCCCAAAAAATTCATGTCTACCTGAAATCAGTCAATGTGACCTTTCTGGAAATAGTGTCTTTACATGTGATCAAGTTAAAGTTAGGTCTGATGAAGTTAAGATAAGGTCATATAAACTGGGTTGGGCCCTAAATCCAAGACTGGTAACCTTACAGGAAGAGGGAAATTTGGCACAGAGAAACACACGGGGAGAACATCATGTGAAGATGGACACACAGATTGTAGTAAAGAATCTATAAGCCAAGGAATGCCACGAATTGCTAGCAATCACCAGAAGCTAGGAGAGACGCATGCAGCAGATTTTCCTTCAAAGCCTCTAGAAGGAATCATCCTTCCCAAAAACTTGACTTTGGACTTCTAGCCTCCAGGACCAAGAGACAACAAATTTCTGTTGTTTTAAGCCATGGTAATTTGTTACAGAAATCCTAAGAAACTAGTACAATTATAAAAATATTTATGCCAATATATTTGAAAATTTAGGTGAAATGGACAAATTTTTTGACAGATGCAAACTACCAGAAACTCATGCACAAAAAAAGATAACTTCTATTTATCCTTATATCTGTTAAGAAACATAATTGTAGTCAAAATTTTTCCACAGAGAAAACTCCAGACCCAGATGGATTCACTAATTAATTTTACCAAACATTTAAGGAAGAAATAATAGCAAATCTACAAAAATTATTCCTGAAGACTGAAAAGGAGGGAATACTTCCCAACTGATTTTATAAAGTCAGAATTACTATAATACCAAAACCAGAAAAAGACATTACAAGAAAATAAAACTGTAGATCAATATCCCTTGTGAATGTGGATGTAAAAATTCTTTGCAATATTTCAGTAAATAAATCCAATAATGTTTACAAAGAAGAATACATCATGACCAAGTGGGATTTATCCCAGGATTGCAAAATTGGTATGGCATTCAAAAACCAACCAATGTAATCTCCATGTTAACAAATTAAAACAGAAAAATTGTACATTCATCCCAATAGATGCGGAAAAAATTCAACATCCATTCCTGATGAAAAAAAAAAGAACATTCAGCAACATATGAACAGAAAGGGAGCTTCTTCTACCCACTAAAGGGCATCCACAAAAAACCTACAAGAAAATCATACTCAGTGGTGAACAACTGAACACATTCCCTCTGAATCAGGTACAAGACAAAGATGTCTACTAACCACTTCAATCAGCATTGCATTGGAGGTTCGAATCAGTGCAATAAGGCAAGAAAAAGAAAGAATACTTGGAAAGGAAGAAGTAAAACTGTCTCTAGTCACATGATCATCTATATAGAAAATCCAATAAAATTTTAATTACTAATTTTAATTTAAATAAACTTAAAAGTAAGTTTAACAGGTTTGCAGGTCACAAGAGTGATGTACAAAAAAAACCCAATTGTATTTCTGTACACTAGGAATAAAAAATCATAATTTGAATTTTTAAGAAATGCCACTTAAACATCAGATAATATGAAACACTTGGGGATAAATCTGACAAGAAGATTTGGAAATCATGAAACACTGTTGAGAGAAATTAAAGGAGATATATGTCATGTTCATGGATCAGAAGGCTCAATATTATTAAGACATCAATTCTCTCCAAATTGATCTACAGATTTGACATAATCCCAATCAAAATCCCAACAGAATTTTTTTTTACATATGAACAAGCTGATTATAAAATTCAGACATAAATACAAAGGACATAGACTATCCAAAACAACTTTGAAAAGGTCTAAGCCAGAGGACCAACACTCCCTGATTTCAAGACACTGTAAACTACAGTAATATTAAGGCAATATGGTATTGTCATAAAGACAGGCAAATAAATCAATAGAGCAGAACAAAGGTAGAACCCCATCTTGAGCAACCTTGAACAGTAGGTCATGAGACAATGGGAAGCACACTGTTCAACCCGCTCCAGTCAGCCTGTGATCCAAGTGCAGCTC